CCCTTTTCCAGCCCTTCCCCAATCAAAATATCACAAAGTCGATTTTCAATTTTCAGATATTTTCAGTACATACCTAGTCACATTTTAGTTGAGAGTTAAAGGCAAAATTTTGTTTATCATACATATCATACATAATTCATACCATACAGACATGCATGCATATCATACATGATTATATACATATTATACATAATAATCATACATACATATACATAATTTATATCATACATACATACATACATACATATCATACATACATTATATCATACATACATACATATACATAATTCATATCATACATACATACATACATATCATACATAATTCATATCATACATACATACATACATATCATACATAATTCATATCATACATACATACATACATATCATACATAATAATTCATACATCATACATATATACATATCATACATAATTCATATCATACATACATACATACATATCATACATACATACATACATATACATAATTCGTATCGTACATACATACATACATCTCATATAGTATTATATACATATCATACATAATTCAAAATCCAGTAAATCTAACCGCTTATCCTTTCCCCTCGTACCTACATCCAGATACTGTTATAACGAAAAAAATTCTTTGAATTCTGACAAAACTAGAACTAAAGAAAATATAATAATCATTATATACTTTTTGTGTTTTTGTTTAACGAACTGTGCATAGATCTATTGAGTGAGTGATATGAATATAATAAATATATATATATATATATATATATATAATTATATATATATATATATATATATATATATATATATATTATATTGTGGATTTTTGTTTAACAAACTGTACATAAATCTACTGAGTGATATGAATATAATAATTAAATAATATGATATAATTCAAACCTAATTGTAGAGCAGACTGGAGTCGTAGACAAGAACAAAGGTGCATGACTGGGGTCGCCTTAAAAAAAGCTGGAGAAACACTGTTAGAGAGCGATCACAGTTATTATTACCTAATTATCTGTTTACTTATTCATCTGTCTGTCTGTCTGTCTATTTGTTTGTCTGTCTACCTGTCTGTCTGTCTGTCTGTCTGTTTATCTGTCTGTCTCTATGTGTGTTTGCATGCATTTATGTATGTATGCATACATGTATGTATGTACTTACACATGTATGCACATATGTATGCAAATATATATGTCAGAAACTATATTCTCATACCTTGACAGAAATGGTCTGAGAATATGCACAACGGTTTGAGGCCAAAAAAATGTCCGCGAATAAAAACAGTTTAATTAAAAAAGAATACTCAGATATTATACAAGTGAATAATTCGCCTTGCAAAATTATCATTTGAAACTGTAATACACTGATTTATTTACGTCAAGGATATCTCTCAGAAAGGTTGTATTTTAAAACCAATTCGATGTTTTCGCTTTATTGACGTAAAATTGAAGAGGGGAGGCAAATAGAGAGGCAGAAGAAAGAAAGAGAGAGAGAGAGAGAGAGAGAGAGAGAGAGAGAGAGAAAGAGAAGAGAAGAGAGGAAGAGAAAGAGAGAGAGAAACAGACAGCCGGGCAGGCAGACAGAGAGGTGGGAGGGGAGGAGAAAGAGAAAAAAAAGAGTGATAGACATAATATTGGCTTACGACATGTTATATCAGACTGTGAGTACCACATCATTCCGTTCTGTTCCTCGATTTTGTTATATGTGATGATACAAGAAAAAAAAATGTTATGAATGAGTAGGTGTTCTAAAACGCGTGTCTGCGTGAGGTGGAAGAAGGAAAAAAAGGATGATAGACAGGTAATCTCGTGGAAAAAAGATAAGGCCTGATTGATGTAGCGGGCAGGTGAGGGCGAGGGTTTGGCACCTGTGACGGAAGAGGGTGGACACGGCGACTGAATAAGCAGGGCAGGGTGCCATCCCTTTCTCCCGGCCACCCTTGCCCCCCGCCCTACACACATAGCCTAGGGTAGAGGGCGGGCTGGAGAGCCATACTTGCCACTGCACCGCTTGACGCAGCATAACCAAGACGTTTTCTTGTTGCTTCTTTGGTCTTTTGTTGTTTTTCGCGTCGTGCGGCCAGGGATTCGCCCCGAGAGTAAGGGCGCTGGCAGTCGTAAACGAGAGCTGGTGGAATGCCATCTATGCAGTGTATGCGAGTGTTGAGAAAAGGGTCCCTCCCTGTCAGTGGCCGTGCTGAAAGGCGTTCCGGTATGACGACCTGCTGACGTCATCGGCCATTCATCATTTTTAAGCGTTTCCGCCGAAAATATGATGAGCCAAGCGTCCACGGAGGTCAGCCTCTCGAGTGATACAGAAGTGGGCGCAAGGGACCTTCGGGGAGACAACGCAGACCCGGGGGTTCAGGATACCCTTGGCGAGCAGGGTGTTGGAGTGGGGGATGGTGGTGCAAATATAGCCGGGGGCGATAACGCAAATGAAGATCTCCTTAGACGCCATGATTACTTCATGACGTGTGACAACCTTGCCTCCGTCACTCTGGTCCCCGCCGAGCTCGCGCCCGAACCTGCTGGCCGACATACCGCGGGTGACACGCCCGACGTCAGGATTACCGCCGAAGCCTCGGAGTGTCACGGCGACGCCCTCTCCACTTCGCAGACCGCCTGCGGCCCCACAGGTGCTCGCGGGGGCCGAACGCGTGAGGTCTGGGAGGCTGCTCCTCGTGCGGGCGAGCGAGGGGGCGGCCGCGCCCCCGAGGCGAGTGAGGGGAAGTGGGAAGTGCAGTTCGTCGGAAGGCAATCTGGCGAGACGTGTGGCGGTGATCGGATGGGATTATGCAACACAGGCAGTGATGAGTGCAACAATATATGGACTCAGAGCAAGTGCCGTCGACCCACGTCCATGCCCGTCTGCCTCTTGAGCGTCGACGTCCCCGGCCTCGACGCTGCGCCCAGCGATCCGTCAAGCCCCGAGGAGTTTTTCGACGCCCCCGACGAGCTGTTTCCCGGGGCAGAAGGGCTCTCTGGTTCGCGCACTCGAGAAAACTGCGAGGATTTCGACGATTTCAAAGATGCTCTCGATACGCAGCCAAAGGACTTTTTAGAAAAGGAAAAATACATTGGTACGCGAGAAATTGTGACCAATTCTGTGATAGACAGGAAAAGAAGTGCATTTGTACTAAACGAAGTGAACACTCATTGTGAAAGCTGCAACTCCAAGACAGACAGCGAGTCCGATGCTGAGACCGACGCCTTTGGTGTTCAAGGACGCTTACAGGATTCCACAGGTGGTGAGGTAAGTGGGCTCAGAGCGCCAACGACACGGGCGGAGCTGGAAGAGTGCCATTTCGACTGCCACCAACCCCCGGCCACATGCGTTAGTCAAAACAATAATTTGATAGATACTTCTGCCAAAAATGTGACATATTCAAATGACTGCACAACAAGGCTTACGGCGGGGGACACCTGTGCCGCCGCTTCACCGAATACGGACACTTCTATAAAGGAACACCATGAATCACCCGCGTGGAAACAGCTGGACAGATTTCAAAGTTCCTCTGATGAAACGGGTCGCAACTCTCAGACATCTGCTTCAGTTGACTCTGCTTCCGAATGCTTAGCAAATACTACAAGTATGGACGAAAACAACACAATTAGCAAGAAATATCTGACTATAGACCGAAAGAGTCCCAGTGTAAAAGGCATGGAGGAGCCCGCTACCACTCGACCCGGACGGCTACCGAAAGCGGTCTTTCTAGAAAGCCAAAAGGAGAAGAGTGAACCCTTCTTCGGGAACCTCAAGCCGTCGGGGTTCAGACTACGAGATAAATTCGTTCAGTTCCACGAGCGTCCTGAGAGTTCCCTGAATGAGGAGACGCGCAAGATAGTGAAGATGTTGGAAAACGACAAAGCTTGCAGAGTTCCGCGATTCAACATAGGTTTGCAGGACCGTTTGCAGACCCTGATGCAACGGACGGAATGCAAGCGACCCAACTACAAGAGACCGAAATTCTGTAGCACGCTTGTCAAAACCATTGTGAAGAAAACCACGGACAGGATCGAATCACACACGGACTCCTTTGAGGACTTCATCAGACAGCGCAAAGAACCTGTTCAGACGAACCACATGAATCAGACTGTTGGTTCTTTTGATGATAATAAGGAAAATTTGCGCATCAGCGAAAACGGTGATATCAACCAATATAAAGACAAAGAGAACCAAGACGTTACAGTCTCCGTCACATCGAATTCAACAGAACAAAATGAAATCTTTCCGATAACTCATACGAGAATGACCTTTAGTGGTAGAACCTGGTCTCCTAACAGACATGCGCCAGATAAGAACAACAGTAAAAACGCAGAACTGCCATCGACAATCCAGCAAACAAATTCTGCCAGTGCAAACGAGGTCATCAGTCACCCGCCTTTGAATACAGAAACCCAATATAAGAACGACAGATTTGTCAATAGTGAACACAAATCGACGGATCGCCATCACCCCACACTACAGGGCCTGGATGTCCATGGCCATTCAGGAGCTAAACAAAGGAGCCAAGGTGGCGAACCCATGGACATTCATTCAGAAAAGGAGTTAGAATATTACAAGCGTTCTGTTGTATTTGAACAAAGGACAATTGGTGCGAGAGAAGGAGGAAATAAACCGACTCTCACGACAGAGATGGTAAGTGGAACGAAAACAGATCAAATTGAAACTTTTCATAGTGATTTCGTGTGTGAAATAGCAGACAGAAACGTACATTCAGGTTATGTAAACGAGACTGAGAGTTACATTCAGCCTGAGGGTCTAAGTGAAACGGGTGATGTTAAAAGATATTCAAATACTTTAGGAATGGATGGAACAGTAACAAATTGTACTGGAGTGGACATAAAAAACAAAACAATTAATAGCAATCATCAGTCAGCCAATGGCCACGCTTACACAACCTGGGTTGACGAAAGAAGTGGGGCTGAAACAGTGATAAACAATACTACTACACGACAGCATATTGCCGAAACAGAAATCAACAAAAGGTGAGGTTGAATCAGCATTGACCAGTGAATCAGAGACAGAACCTTCGTCCTTAGAGAAAATAGCTACACGTGGCGCTGAAGGCACTGATCACCAAAACCAGCCAACTGTAGCTGAAAAACAGTATAATACCATTCTTAATTCCAGCATCCCCGTCCGACCCTCGACGCTAGACATCCCTCCAACCACTGGCCTTCAGGCACACACTGACATCCTCGCCCCTCCTTGTCCTCTCTCATTACCTGACTCTAGTAACTCTCCCGCTGACCTTTATATAAAAACGAATCCTCCTTCCTCTACTGGTCAACCCACTATGGATAAAATTGCAAATCCAGCGAATTGCCAACCATCGTATGATAACTATAAGCGTGATTCATTGGCCCACGAAGCAGGACACATCAAACCGAAGCCGAAACCCAGTAGTAAAATATCTCAACAAAGTGACTCTCGCCAAAGCATTGATCTGAAGCAACACAAATCGCTCCCGAATAAAGTCTCTTCGAAGTTAATGAACAAAGTCAAAGATCGACGCTCCGAGCAACCCGACTACAGGGCTTCTCTGTCAACTACCCTGAAGGTCGCTCTTACGCAGGCTGTGGCGCCATCGCCTGCTGGGATCGAAAGGCCCGGACTCAAAAAGGGGAAAAGTAAAGTCGAGCAAAAACGCCGTCGGCCGAAGACCAAGAAACAAGATCCTCAGACCGAGACTCCCTCCGCCAGAGTTTCTCCAGAACTTCAGAGTGAAAGTTCCTCTTCCGTGATTTCTCCTGAACCACCTGGCTTCACTTACGATGAAATATCCCAAGAAATCGGTGGAATGACATCACCTGTTGACTCCACGACTGGGTACGAGCTGGACACGCTGTCTCCAAGTTCTGAGGAGCCTGTAACGCTGGGTTCTTTCTCCTCGGATGAACTCGAGTCACCATCTCCTCCAGAGTCACCAACACCCGAAGTCCCTGTTGTAACAGGTACGAAAACTTGTAGCGCCTTACCTGTTGACTCTACAATACCCCGTAAAGCGGCTGCGAAAACAGGGTCAGTTATACCTATGGCAAAGATGTACGAACCCGAGATACTGAATCTGGATAAGCAAATCATAATCCCTAAGAACACGGAGTCAGAACTAAGAACGCCTGTCCCCAATGCAACAAAATCATCTCTCCTGGTTTCTGACCCTACCCGCCCTGCCGTCAAAACCACCCCAAGCATCGGAGGGCGAGCAGTCGTGACAGATCATAAGCCAATTTCTTCAGATACTTACACATCGCCAGCAAGTCCTGCCTCCGAGAGAGTTCCTGAGAACTCCACAGACTCGCCTGCATGGCAACGCCGCAAGACTTTCATGACATATGAAAGCGAATCTAGTGTCAAAGAGGATCCTCAAAAGCGTTGGAATGAAGCTGCCATCCTTCAGCTCAAGACGAAAAACATGGTTCTAAGGCACTGCACTAACTCCATCTTCCCACTGCCTCTAACAAGGGGAAGGAGAGACACAGCGAGGAAGCTCTGGACACAAGCCGCTAAGCCAGCTGTCGTTAAGGAGCCCCCGAAACCTGCCGTAGTTCAACCCAAACTGACGCAGGGCGAGGAGTCTCCTCATGGGAAAAGACGTTCAAGCTTACTTGGTGAGCGGCGGGACAGCTCCCACAAAGTCCGACGGAAGCAAAGCAATGGGAAGAAACCTTTAGAGGATCTAACAGTACATCTGATTAGCAAGAGTAATGCAGATAATCAAAGACCTCCATGTAGCAAACAAAGCAGTTTTGAGGATCTGCCACCTCTACCTCCATGCAGTGAACAAAATGGGCCACGACAAAGCCTCCCACACAGCAGACGCGAGAGCAGAGAAAAGAACCTCCGTTCGAGACAGGGTAGTGTGGCTGAATTTTACAAAGGTAGCAGAAGATCTAGCAGAGAGAGACGAAGTTCATCCCGTCTGAACAGTCGCCGCGGCAGTGTAGACAGAACCCATGTCGGAAGTCGACGAGGAACAAAAGCAAGCTTTACCGAAAATCTACTCAGAAAATGTCTCGAAGTCGCCTTAGACAAGTGTGAGCTGGAGGAGATGGAGGTGACTGACGAAGTGCCAAGGGAGAAAGGCCCGAGATACCACGACAGCCTCGACAAATCCCTCAGCCGAGCCGTTGTGCGAAATAACATCGAGAAGGTCCGGGAGCTTCTCGAGCACGGAGCTAACCCGAACATCAGCACAGGTCACGTCCCCGCGCTCCTGCGTGCGGCCAGAGACGGGGCGCTGTATGTGGTGCAAGCCCTACTCAGGGCTGGGGCAGACGTGGACGCCCGGTCTGAGCAGGGAAACAGCGCCTTGCATGAAGCAGCTCGCGTTGGCCATAACGAGGTGGTCATCTGCCTCGTGTACAGCAACGCCCATGTCGATGCCATCAATCGGAACGGCGTCACGCCACTGCAGACGGCTCTTTCTTACGGCCAGGTAGAGGTGGTTCAGACCCTCATACGATTCAACGCTGACGTTTACCTAAAGAACAAAGTCGGCGAATCTGCTCTGACGATTGCTGAACATCTAGGTTATGTTGGACTTACTGGAAGCCCTGCAGAATTGAGGAGGTCCTCAGGGCCAGGTACATGCGCACCAGTGGTTCAAATGGAAGTCCCTGTCTCGGTGCAGCTCATACTTGGACTGGAGGAGGGATGCCCCCTCACTGTAGAAAACTGCCTCTCTCAAGGCGCTAGCTGCAATACTCTCGTTCCTCTTGCTCTCCACTGGCCTGCGTATGCGACTGTACTTCACCGCGCAGCCCATCACGGAGACGACCTCATAGCACGGCTCCTGCTTCAGTCAGGGGCAGATGTTAACGCTAGAGATGTGGTTGGTAACACGCCCCTGCATGCGGCTGCTCAGGCGGGCCACAACAGGGTGGTGAAGTTACTGCTGGCCCACGGCGCAGATCTGGAGGCAACGTCTCGCTCGGGCATGACGCCGCTCCACCGGGCGGCGTCGAAGGGGAAGGAGCTCACCTGCAACCTCCTGATGCGCCGAGGAGCGAACACCCAGGCCGAAGACAGCGAGGGCCGCACTCCGGCGGACTGGGCCACAAGGCGCGGTTTTAAGTCCGTCGCTCGCAAGCTGGGTCACCGCCGGAGGAGCAGCTCAGGACTGATGGAGGAGCAGCAGCACAAAGCCTACATCAAGTACCTGGACGAGTTATACAAAGCCACGCAGTTGGAGTCGTCTCGAGCCTCTCCCTCGCCCGAACCCGCACCCGCATGACTCCACTACCACGCACCCTCGCTCGATCAACAATGTACACTTCTTTTAATAAAAACGAAAAAGCTATTGGGTTTTATTCAGCTTTGTAATTTGTAAAACCGCGCAACCTGTAAAGATAGCTAGTTAGTATCATATTTCAAATTACTATACTTTTTCTCAAATGCCAACGCATATTCAATCAGCCCACCTATTATCAGGACTGTCCAAAATATCCCAAAACTCCCATTCTTAAGATAATCAGCATACATTTCATTATCTGATATCGGTTCGTTTAACGATTTCATACGCTGTCAAATTTCTTGTGCATTTTTACTACTAGCATTACTAATCCATATCAGATTAACGATGCACACTACACTACAAAATATGATTTGCTCCAAAATCAGACCAGGTTTAGATTCTTCGGTTCACATTAATGCCATACACACATCCTAATAGCGTCAGGTTTTAAGTCATAATTATTGATCAGAAGATTAATTCTGATCCTTCACCATTATAATTCATTAATAAAATGATTCATGATGAAGTAGAGTTCGACAGACACAAATAACATAGATGAAGTTATTATGCGCCATTTTTTATTGTACCAAAATATGGAAAACTGTAATCTATACATATCAAGAAATAAAAAAAACATGAAGGGACTGAGGTAAGAAAAGCAACAAATAATTCTTATGACAGCCAATCGAAGTGAAAAGAAAAAAATATCTACGACAAATAATAAATTACGTTGTCAATCATTCCATAACAACCGTTCAGTATTTTTCAGCTGTCTTCTTTTTTCTTCGCCTTTTTTTCTTGGCAAAATAACAACCTTCAGATTCAGGACACCCCAGGGGACTTGGGGAAAAATGAAACCAGGATAAAGGTTCTTTCCTGGCTTTAGTGGATATTATCATCAATGTGTATTGAACGACAAATATCAGACAGCTTAGTCCTCTAAAAGTACAAAATTCTGATGCTTATGTTTTGAAATTAGTCATGATAGATGAATGCTTAGCAAACTATATTTTCGTTCACTAAAAACTAAAAAGAAAATTATATATATACACATATATTACTGAAACTTTACCTCACAGAAAGCCCAGCTTCAACTTGAATATTACAATAGTGAATAGTGAACTCAACCGGACTTAAATACCGAGGATAACATATAACAGTTACTACTCACGATTACAGGGAACAAATTCTCTCGACTTTCTAACAACAGTAATGGTTATGTTAAGCCATCACTGGAGAGCGAGAGAGGAGAGAGAGGAGAGAGAGAAGGGAGAGGGAGGGAGAGAGGAGAGGGGAGAGAGGAGAGGGAGAGGGAGGAGAGGGGGAGAGAGGAGAGGAGAGGAGGGAGAGGGGGAGAGGAGAGGAGAGGAGAGGAGGAGAGGAGAGAGAGAAGAGGGAGCGAGAGAGAGAGGAGAGGAGGAGAGGGGATCGAGAGAGAGAGAGAGAGAGAGAGAGATGATTTGTGCCTGCTTGTGTCTTTTTGTGTGCAGTTTTTGTGCGTTTAGGTGTTTTAGCTTAGTCCTCGTGCCTGCATTTTTACGAGCGCAAATTTACCATGGATATTCATCCAGGATGCTAAACAAGTCATATATTTAGAACTGTCTACTGTCAAAAAAAGGCTAATAAATGATCATTCAACATAATTTGTTCTCGATCCTTACCCGATAAATACTGTAATCATTACACATTCACACACCGTCTTTAGATCCCATTCCTTCATTTCATCTAGAAATTCCGGAGATGAAACTGCATTTATTTCAAGGGGTAAATGAGAACAAACTTCAGTCTTCATACTTTCATTGATGAAAACTTCCATTAACATTTACAATATTTTATTACAAAAAAATAAGAATGATAATATTAATGATAATGACAATAATAATAGTAATAATAATAATAATGATGATAGTAATAATAATTATAATAATAAAAGAACAAAAATAAAAATGTTTTGTTTGGCGAGATGATTAAACAGAAGACACTGCTCAGTGCATCAGGAAAGAAAGTATAGTACAGAAACATTTAACTGGGAATGGCAAAATGAAGAGCAAGAAAAATTATTCCTGCTGCTGCCAAGCTCACCTCCATGTTAGCACCATGGTTAACAAGTGGGAGATGCCACAAGCGCCCACTAATGAAAGAACTAGAGAATGTCATTACATTTTTTTTTTTTTTTATTGGAAAAAAAAAGAAAACAAAAAAAAATTGGACTAATGGATGATTTTCCAAAAAACCTTTTGGCCACATTCACTTGTTTACACATGGCACGTGAACATAGCTGGATGGTGCTGATGTGAGCAATAACAAATAGTGATGTATCATTCACACATACACAGACATACAACCGCTCGCACACAGATGCACACACATCTAGCCAATGCATGTGCAAAACAAAACTCCAAGTTTCAACATTTTGGTCATGCAAGTAAGTGAATGGCAGCAGCAGATCTGGCTGGACACAGACTTGTTACTGTAAAAGCCCTGGCTATCACCACTAAACTGGGGTCTCTCTAACAGTTTGTGACACCAGGTTTCTGGCTTGACTTTGAGAACATTAAACATCAAAACAATGATTTATTAGTGTATCATGTGACTCAGGTACAGAGATTTAATAGTGAATCCCATTTCAAGACGGCATAACAATATAGATAAAAATGTACAAGTATCCTCACCTAATTTATAATCTGAACTAACTGATATTTTGATGCACAGAGTATATGCTCCTCAAGTAACATAATCGATTATTAAAAAATCATTATTCATTGGCCAGTGTCTGCATCATACATGTTAAACTGGTAAAAAATAATATGCTACCCATCTATGATTCTACAAATAATGATAGAAAATAGAATTAGTCTTCACGTAGATTTCAAGTTTTCTATTAAAAAAACAAGATTTATATATTTGGTATCACAACTTTCTCCTTTTATGAATTTTCACAGGTTTTCTAAAAGGCCCATATATATATCTACATATGAAACCCATTTACATCTGGCTGGACCTTGTGTGGGCACTCGGCACCACTGCCTTCAGCTGCCTCTCCTAAGCATGTGTACTGGAGGAAACTTGTCTTTAACTTGCTTTTAGCAGAAGAATTTTTTTCCACTACAGTCTACATGTACAGAAGTTATGGTATTTATACACTGTGTACAAAATTTACAAAATTGTGCTGACAGATCCACCATCATGCTAAACTAGTCATATAGAGCAAAATTTAGCAAGTTGAGATTACTCATTAAAATTACCATCTAGGCAGTAAAACACTGCATCCGGACATTATCTACATAAGCTCTGAAACTTAAAATTTGAAACGTGCTAATTAAAAAATAAATAGTAAAAATGATACCACAAAGTTTGACTTCCATACAATGATATCAACGACCTAAATGCAAATTTCTAACATAAGGAATGAGAAACTACAAGGCAGGTCTCCGACAAGCAAGGATTTCAACTTCCACCTAGTCACTGGCACAATACAAAATAAATAACGCTCATTCTTACTCAACTACCCATCATTGTAAGCAATTTAATGAAAGAATATTTAATAATTGCACTGCTTAATGTGCCCAAGTTTTTGGACTCCTCCTTGTATGACATTTAATCGCACTCAAAACCACTCAACTTTAGTGAACAGCGAGTTTTACACACCATACTGTGGATAGCATTGAACACTTGTGTTGGCCCTCAGAGCAGTCTCCCCACAATTAAGTCAAAAGAACAGCCATTTATTTTCTTCAGGACTGTTAATTCCACTTAACTCGTGAGATTAAGGGTTCAATAGGTATTTAAAAAGTCCATGGATGAATCTGGCAGTTTAAATGCCCTGATGATCAGGAAGGCGGATGTCATAGAGGATCTGGGCCACTGTTCGTGATGACTCCATTGTACTAAGGGCGACATTTGCTAGCTCAGACTCAAAGCCTCGCAATAACCTGGAAAGGGAAAAGAGAACTGTTCAGCTGCATTTAATACAATTGTATGTTTTAATTATATCTTTAAAAGAAATTGTGGAGCAAATTCAGTATCAACTGAAATGAACACAAGGGGGGTTAAAAAATACATGACAATCTTATAAATAATTGCTATACAGTTAAGCTCCAAGACAACTCTAAAAGCAGACAAAATAAAAATTCAACCTTCCTCAAAGTGAATACTATATAAAAAAAAAAAAAAAAAACAGACACAGGCTCCTTTTGTACTTACTTTTTCCCGGTATTAGAGTATATGACTAGGTTTCTCAAGATCAGAGCTGAGGTTAATCGAATACTTTTTGTTACAGGCCCTTCTTTTTCCTGGAAAGAAAAACAATATTCAGTAAGTCCTGAAAGAAGCTAGTAGAAGCTCCAAACTCTTCAATTCAAAAGAATGAGATTTTTAAAATTCAGTTTTGCAAGATCTAGAAAGCTGTTGAGTAACTCTGAGTAACTCTAATGACAATTCAAAATCTCATAAGCTGTAATTAATCCTATATAGTAGACTTCACAATTTAAAGCTCTCTCATACACTTGATACAAGGAGCTAAAAGAAAGAAAGAAAGAAAGAAAGAAAGAAAGAAAGAAAGAAAGAAAGAAAGAAAGAAAGAAAGAAAGAGAAAGAAAGAAAGAAAGAAAGAAAGAAAGAAAGAAGAAAGAAAGAAAGAAAGAAAGAAAGAAAGAAAGAAAGAAAGAAAGAAAGAAAAGAAAGAAAGAAAAGAAAGAAAGAAAAAAAAGAAAAAGAAAGAAAGAAAGAAAGAAAGAAAGAAAAGGATAGAAGAATTAAATTCAAAATACAAAATATAATCAGACGCCTAACTTACCACCGCATCTCTCTGGTTGATAACTTCGAGAGCGTGTCTTTTGATGGCATGGAAGGCAGCATTAGGTGCATATCCCGGATGGGGAGGAGGTGCTTGGGGGATGGGTATCTCCGTCTTTCCCGTAGCAGCTAATTGTGACCGTCTAACTGCCAAGATCTGTAATAACTGGAAAATGCAAAGTGTTAAAAGTCATCAAAAAGGAAGGTGAATATCTTCCATACTAAAACAGAGAGTAAA